GACTCTTGATCATGTGGTACTTTTTGAAATATGTTAGCCAGCCAATTCTTTTTTATGTAGTGATTCTATGTAATCTCCATCTTCTCCGATTTTTTCCTATATCATTCAAGATTTTGCCAAATTTCATCTCTAAGTATGGAAACTTAAGGTTTGAATTTGATTTTCAGTTCTTTTAGCCTGAGAAATGCTAATCAAGTTCTTTTTGAAAAATAAAAATAAAATCGGAGGACTCACACGTCTATTTAAAAACATATAAACAACTACAGTAAACAAAATAGTCTGGTACGGCTAGAACAAGAGACACACAGGCCATGGAATAGAATGGAGAGTCCAGAAACAAACCCACTCTTCTTTGATCAACTAATGTTTGATGAGGATGAGAAGTTCAGTTGTATGGAAATGACTACACTTATGCTAAGATAGCCAAATTTTATTAGATTGATTTTTGCAATTTCTGCCCAGAATGCAAGTTGACTCTTCCACTTACTGTTTTTACACATGCTTGTAAAATTAGACGTGTCCTCCAGGTGCTGATTTCTCTCCCAAAACGAAGCATTGTGTATTGTCAGCATTTTCCATACGCTTAGGCAATCTTTAACTTAACTGTGTATTGAGAATTATTTGAGTAAAGTTAACAAAGAGTTAGCTGCTTCATTCTACACACAACAGAATCCTCTGGCCAGTAGCTCTGCACTAGATCCTGGCAGTATTGCTTCTACAGGTCAGTAAATTTTTCTTTCCTAATAAACTGAAGATTTTTTTTTTTTAAGTTCGTCTTCAGGTCAGGCTTTGGATCTGTCTGTGAACGTGAACATTGAGGTACTTTGTTTTCGGAGAGTAAAGCCAACACTTGGCAAGTCAAAATCTAGGAGACTGAAAAAAATCCAAGGAGACCTCCAGGAAAGGGGATGTTTAGGAAGAAAATGGAAACTGGTGATAAAGCTAAAATGGTCTTTGATTTCCGTGTATGGTCCCTTAATTCTGTTGATAGAGGAATGTAGGCTGGTATATGTGCACGGGGAGTATCTCAAAAATGTCCCAAGGCTTGTCAGAACACATACAGAGTGTAGGACTTAGGAAGGACAAGGAAGAGAGGCCAGTGCTTGTTGCCACGGTAACCTTGCTAGCTGGGACACAGCAGGTCCTGCAAGTTGAAGAACATGTCACCACTAGGAAGCTTGTCTTTCACTTACAGAGATCTGAACAAGCGATGGAGATTTTAGAACGACATCCACCTAAAGTGAAAAGAAGGTTGGGTTGCAGGCTTCCCCAGAACGTTCCAAAGGATATGAAGCCATTTAAAGTGGTAAAGTTCCTGTATTCTGTGGGGTGAAGTCAATAAAGTGGTAAATCAGTCGTATTACGGCTTCACCTTGGGTTCCACTTGTGCCAGAGAGGAGATGGCAGAGATTGAAGAGTAGGACACTTCTGCCAGATGGCCAGTATTGCTGGACCCGCAACTGGGCACACTCAGCTGTGGCACTGCACCCCACACGACCAGCTCCAGGATGAAGGCTGGTGGCAAACGTGCCCCTCCCACAGCGCCACAGCTCCTTAGCCTTCACCTTGCCCTCTTCCAACGACAGTAGCAAGGTGTGACTGGGGATAAGGTAAAATTCCTGCAATCCTCTAGTGAAAAACAAACCAACCAACTAGCAGGAGACTAGAGGCCCCTGGCTGAATTAAAAATACATCTACAAACAATGGCTAGAGAAGCTGTGGTATATTCACACAATGGAATACTTCGCTCTCTGCATTGCAAAACAAGAAACTCATGAAATATTTCATAAAATGGGTGACCCTGGAGGACATTATGCTGAGTGAAATATCTCAGTCACAAAAGGACAAATACTGCATAGGGCTACTGTTGTAAAATGAGACTGACATCGGGGTTGGGAGGAGACTGAGAAAGATGGGATAAATAATGTATACTGCATTGAAACAAATGAGAGAGAAAGCTGTTTAAAAGGGATGTATTATTGTCATGATAGGAGTCCAGAATGAAGGTAGAAAAGTGGAGTGGACTTCGGAAGAGGGATTGAATAACAATGAAATATTTTTTCTTTTACTTTTCAAAAAGAAAAGCAAATTGGGGGGATGGCGAAGAGTTGGGCAGGGAGAAAAGTGCAACAATGAATGACTGGAAATACAAATTCTCTGTAAATGTTCATTAAAATTAAAAGAAAAATTATCTCCAAAGAAAAGCCAAGTTGTCTGGGTTTTAATAGATCCAAAGGCTCGTCACACACCTACATATAAATGTTCACAAGGTGTTTGTGAGGATGTTGGGTTTTGGGTACGATCACTTGTATGTCACTTGTATGTCATTGCACTGATGGTCTAAAGTTAACTTGTCCTTCTCTGTTTCTACTTCAAGAAGTAGCACCACAGTTAGTGTCTCTTCTGCTCTCTAGTTTGGGCCTTTAACAATGTCAAATCATAGGACCCTAGATAGTATTTTAAATATTCAGGTATTGGGCTGATCAAGTATGACAAAGATTGTCACTGAGGCAGTATTAGATAAAATGAAAGCTTATCCTCTCTTGGCTAAAAAGAAAGAATGGCAAACTTTCTTGGGTCTTTTGGGTTATTGGACACCTTTTAAAGCACCCATGACTTAGTCATGGTCCCAATATACAGGTTAATACCTAGAGGGGTGGTTTAGAATTGGACTCCAGAAGCTGACCTAGCATTCCAGAAAGCCAACATGGAAGCCTAGGATGTAGGAACTATAAACATAGTGCAAGAAAGCAATTAGGATGTGGCCAGCTACCCTGAAGCGTCTGAATATGGCCTTCAGCAATGGCAACATGGCCAGTAAATTCCACGTATAGTCTGGTCTTAGAAAAAGAAGCCTCCTGGAGGAACAATTGCATAAAATAGTTTACAAGAAAGAGAAGACTTCACCCAGGGTGCTTCTGTGAACGTGCAGACCCGTCCCCAGCCAGGGATGGCTTCATGACTTCCTAGCCCTCAAAATTCACTCTTCACTTTGAAAACTTAAAGAAAAATTCTTTCATTGTTATACAATCGCTACCCCAAAGTCCCATCCACTATGTGGCCTTCATTCTGGACTCCTGTCATGACAATAATACCGAATCATATATCTCTTTTAAACAGTTCTTTCCCTCATCTGTTTCAATGCAGTAGAAATAATTTATCCCCTTTCTTAGTCACACACACACACACACACACCCCGATGTCAGTCCCATTTTACAACAGTGGCACTATACAGTATTTGTGCTTCTGTGACTGAGAGATATTTCACTCAGCAGAAGTGCAGGCTGGGTTTAGAAGGGGTTGTGGTACTAGGGATATTGTAGCTGATGTTAGATGGATCTTAGCTGAAAGCAGGGAATACCAGAAGAATGTCTATCTATGTTTCATTGATTATGCAAAGGCGTTTGACTGTGTGGATCATAACAAACTGTGTCTGACTCTGAGAAGAATGGGAATCCCAGAACACTTGATTGTGCTAATGTGAAACCTATACTTGGACCAAGAGGCAGCCATCAGAACAGAGCAAGGAAACACTGCATCGTTCAAATTTGGGAAGGGTGTACACCAGGGATGTGTCCTGTCTCCATACCTTTTCAACCTGTATGCAGAACAAATTATCCGGGAGGCTGGGCTCTATGAGGAGAAATGTGAGGTCAAGATTGGTGGAAGATCTAGCAACAATCTGTGTTATGCAGATGACACAACCCTGCTTGTTGAAACTGAGGAGGACCTGAAGTGCTTGCTGCAGAGGGTCAAGGACTGCAGACTCCTGTATGGATTGAGGCTCAATGTCAAGAAGACAAAGATTCCCACCACTGGCCCAATTGGCAGCATCAGGATGGATGGTGAAGAGATTGAGATTGTTCACAGCTTCAGTTTGCTTAGCTTCACAGTCATCACTCTTGGCACCAGTAGCCAGGAAATTAAAAGGCATATTGCCATGGGAAAGTCTGCTGTTAGGGACCTCTCCAAAGTACTAAAGAGCAATGGTGTCTCTCTGGAGACTAAGGTGTGTCTGATACAGGCCATGGTCTTTGCAATCACTTGTTATGCATCAGAGAGTTGGACAATGACTAGGGAAGATAGAAGGAGAATTCATGCCTTTGAGCTGTGGTGCTGGAGAAGAGTATTAAGGGTACCATCGACTGCTAGGAAAATAAACAGATTCACCCCGGAAAGGCTTAAACAGGGTGGCTCCTTGGAGGCAAGGATTCTGAGGCTCCGTCTCACATATTTTGGACATGTAAGGAGGGACCAGTCCTTGGAGAAGGACATCATGCTTGGGAGGGTAGAGGGACAGTTCAGGAGGAGAAGGCCTCATAGATGAGGTGGATTGATTCAGTGACTGGGGTAATCAGGATGGGAGTGTCAGAGACAGTGTGATTGGCACAGGACAGAGCAGAGTTTAGGGTTGTTGTACATAAGGTCACTATGAGTCGCAAGTGACTTGAAGGCACATAACAACAACAACAACAACAATGTCCTTCAGGGAGGGTCACCATTTTGTATAATATTTCATGAGTTCCTTGTATTTCAATGCAGCATAGAATTCCATTGTGTGAATATACCAGAGTTTCTCTTTCCGTTCGCTTGTTGATGGGGAAAACATTTTCATATCCAAGTTTAGGAACATTTATTGTATCAGTATTGCTCATATTCAATTCAGTTCAGGCTTTACAATAAAAATGGAACCAAACACATTTGTCTCTAGTAACCAAAAATAAACTGCACAGAATATTTTGCATGGAATGATAATTTTTTTAATTTGAAAACATTGGAGAATGGATATAATTGGTTAATCCTGTCTTCTCTTTATTTTTCTTTTATTAAACATATAGAAGAAGTGAAAGGTGACAGATAAAAGTAGCATGAAATGTTGTTTAAGAGTTAAACTTCCTAAAACACAAATAAAATCAAAGATAGAGGTTCAAGTATTCAATTTTTCCCACAGTTTACATACATGCACTTTATATGACAATGGAATATTTCTTTTCATTCAGTTATAATTGCTTCTTATTTCTTTTTATCTTCACTTCATTACTCGTTTCCTGACATTGCTTAGTTCTTCTTTCACGATCCAGAATTTCTTTAGGGAACAAGCTTTTCTCATCAAATACAGCTTTCAAAGCTACAAAATGATGAAGAAAATGATATATATGTTATATATAATACAAGATCTGTTGACACAATGACTATAGCAAAGATAATATTTATTTGATAAGAAACCCAATTAAGTATATAATAAGGGAGGGAAAATCTTAAGTTTTACTTTATCTATCTATCTATCTTTGTTGTTGTTGTTGTTGTGTGCTATTGAGTCGCTTGCGACTCATAGCCCCCCTATGTACAAGAAACCTAAATGCCGTTCTATCCTGTGCCAACCTCGCTGTCTCAAACACATTCATTCCCACCACTCCACTCACAGAATTGATCCATCTCATCATGGGTCTTCCTCTCCTGCGCTGTCCCTCCACTCTCCCAAACATGATGTCCCTCTCCAATGACTGGTCCCTCCTTGCAACATGCCCAAAGTATGTCAGACGAAGCTTCAGAATCCCTGACTCCAGGGAACATTCTGGCTTCAGCCTCTCCAGGACAAACCTGTTTGTTCTCCTAGCAGTCCATGGTATATTCAACACTCTTCTCCAGCACAACAACTCAAAGGCATCAATTCTCTTTCTATCATCCCTATTCACTGTCCAACTCTCTGATGCATAGCACGTAATTGCAAATACTATATCCTGGATCAGGCACACCTTAGTCTTCAGCGTGATGTCATTGCTCTTCAGTACTCTTGAGAGGCGCCTCACAGCTGACTTTTCTAATGCAATTCATCTCCTGATTTCCTGGCTGCTGTTACCAAGAGTGTTGACTGTGGAGCCAAGCAAACTAAAACTGTTAACTATCTCAATCTCTTCACCATCCATACTGATGCTGCCAATTGGCCCAGTGGTGAGAATCTTTGTTTTCTTGATATTGAGCTTCAATCCATATTGAAGACTGCAGTCATTGAACTTCTGCAGCAAGCGCTTCAGGTCCTCCTCAGTTTCAGCAAGCAGGGTTGTGTCATCTGCATAACACAGGTTGTTGATGATTCTTCCACCAATCTTGATGCCACATTCTTCCTCATACAGCCCAGCATTTCAGATGATCTGTTCTGCATACAGATTAAAAAGGTATGGAGACAAAATACATCCCTGACGGACCCCTTTCTTGATTTTGAACCATCCAGTGTCTCCCTTGCTCTGTTCTGATGACTGCCTCTTGGTCCAAGTATAAGTTTCTCATTAGCACGATCAAATGTTCTGGATTCCCATTCTTCTCAGAGTCAGCCATAGCTTATTGTGATCCACACATAACTAATTTCAGGTTAGTAATTTTATATTATTTTTTTAAGAAGAAAGCTCACAGATTTTCAAACTTCATATCCAGGAAACAGAAATCTACTTCCACATATCAACTGCTGTCACTTGTTGTTTTTTTTTTTTAAATTAGTAAAATGATTCATCCAAGCAAGAGCTCTTTCAAGCTCTTAAACAGTCACTGGTTTAATTGTAATGGAATCTAGTTGACCATAATGAAAACAGACAGCGTCATGATGGATAGAGAGAAGACTGAAACTGTCAACATCTTCATCTTGCTTGGATCCACAATTAATACCCTTGGTGCCAGCAGTTAGGAAATAAGGAGATGTATTGCACTGAGAAAAATTTATAGCTCAAATTTATTGAGAGTAGTGATGTCAGTTTGAGAATTAAGGTGCATCTGATTCAGGCCATAGTCTTTCCAATTACCAGCTATGCATCCAAGACCTGGACAATGAATAAAGATGACAGAAAAAGAATTGACACCTTTGTCCTCTGGTGTTGGAGAAGAACACTGAACATGGGCAACCAAGAGAATAAACAGATATGTCTTGGAGAAGGCACAGTCAGAGTGCTCTTTGGAGGCAAGAATGACAAGGCTACACCTCACATACTTTGGACATATTGCTAGGAGTTGTTATTCCTTGGAGAAGGACAGATGTTAGGAAGTGTGGAGGGCCAGCAAAGGAGAAGAAGACCCTCCACCAGGTGGATTGATGCGGTGACTCCTGCAATGGGCTCTTGTGTGCCAGGAAGTGTGAGGATGGCACAGGACAGGACTGGGTTTAGATCTTTTTTTCATAGGGTTTCTATGAGTCATACTCAACTTGACAGCAAAAACTATAACAACATGTACAAATGATGGAAAACCTAATTCATGAGTTAGGAGAATTTGAGAAAAGTTGTAGTACAATTTACTATTGCTGTCAGAGATACTGCTGTCTTCTTATCACTTTGTATGCTTATCATTCACATGACATGAGGGAGCTCTGGTGACGTAGTCACCAGGAGCTGTGCTGCCATCCGAAAGGCTTGTGGTTCGAATTCACCATCTGCTCCATGAGAGAAGGATGGGCAATCTCCTCCTGTGCAATTAAACTGCTTCAGAAAACCTATTGAAGGGTCAGCTGAGTCGATTCCAACCTGATGGTACACAACAACAACAACAACATACTTATCATTGGGAAAACATGTGTAATAAGAATTGCAGAATAGTTGGAAAGCTCCATGTGCCTGACTTGTAGACATGTGACAATTTTTAAAAAGTACAAAAGGGAAGAGAAAAAGAGGTTTCATTTCCATATGTATCTGTAAGAGCACTTAGAAAATACAAGTCAAGCAACACTTTTGAAGTAAATGTAACAAATGAAAATAAGCACAAAGAAAGATCGTAATCGTGAATGATAATGGGTGGTAAAAGAGGGGAAAGGGGACCAAGGAAACATACTGATTTTGTCATGACTCCTGGTATGCATCTAATAGTCATGGTCCCGAAGAAATAAAGGACTTTGGGAACCGGTGGCTTGATGTTAATGAGCTGAGCTGCCAGCCCAAAGGTATGTGGTTTGAATCCATGAGATGTTCCATAGGAGAAAGAGAAAGACTCTCTCGTGTGATTTACTCTCTCAGAAAATGAGAATTTTCGTTTTCTATCAGTTCCAACTTGGCAAAACACAAAACTGACATGATTATCCAGGAGTGTTTTCATGGTATTAAGAGGTTTAGCATCCAGTAACTACTAAAACTAAAACACTGATAGTTTGAATTCACACACAAAAAAAGGCCTAAATAGGGAGACCTGGGAGTCTCCTTCCCAATAGTCAAAGCCTTGAAAACTCCAAGAAGTAGCACACAGGGTTACAATGAGGCAGAGTCAACTCGATGGCAACTGACTTGAGTTTTGTGTTTGTTTATATAGTTAGTATTATACAGATAACTACGAAAAGAACCCAAAAAACAACATCTCACGTAATATTCTCTTCCAAGCAAAAAAAACAAGAATGGGGAAACCCAACTATATAATGAAAACTTGAGAAGTATGTAAAATTTCAAAAAGTATAAAGTAGCATACTACACAATCAAATGTACATAAAATATCAATAAATTTAGTACACTAAAATTCTTGCTAGAAAACGTGTTTAATTATATCAAAATAGCCAGTGTATATCCCAAGAAAAAGAAATCATAGAGTTTGAAATAGAGGTTGAGAAGAGTATGTCAGGAAAATGAAACGCAAAAGAGAGAAGGATCAAAATGTCTAATTACAGAGAGAAACTCTAAAAGGATGCAAGAAAACCAGTACAAGTGTTTAACAAACATGAGTGAGAGTGGGAATTAGACATATCCGGGCTACAGCCGGGAAGAAGACCACTCAGAGAACAATTTTCACATGTTCTATTATTTGAACTGTGCTTGTATATTCTGTATGTTTGCAATAAGACAGACATTAGTCAACCTAGAACTAATTTAAAAGTAAAGCTATAAATAAAAAATACCTTCCATGTGCATAATACCAGCCTCATTTCTGTGCGTTAGAGGTTGATGCTGTCCTTAATGACTGCAGATTTGCACTTCAGAATTACAAGGAAATCTGAGTGCCTGTGTACTCTCCAGAGACTGTAGAGTTAGAAATGTTAATTTCATAGAAATAATTTCTTAGAAATGTTTATTTCAGTTTGAAAGAAACTGTTTTACTGAGATTTGTTTTTCAGCATGACGACGCATTTTCATCATGGTCAACTAGATTCCATTACAATTAAACCAGTGACTGTTTAAGAGCTTGAAAGACATCTTGCTTGGATGAATCATTTTACTAATTTAAAAAAAAAACAAGTGACAGCAGTTGATATGTGGAAGTAGATTTCTGTTTCCTGGATATGAAGTTTGAAAATCTGTGAGCTTTCTTCTTAAAAAAATAATATAAAATTACTAACCTGAAATTAGTTATAAAAAGAATTTTTTTTACATATATGGAAATAAATATCAACAGATAACTGAGATCATAGGGAGTTGATGCTTTTCTTTCAAGACCTTTGTAGTAAATGCATCCCAAAGGCTTACCTTTGCTTTCAACAGGGCTTTCCTTTTCCAACTACCATAGTTTATTCTTCTTACTCTAATATACTCATGGAGCTTTGTAGGTAAGAAACCCATAAAATAGATGTTCATGGTTGTTATTAAGAATTTTCTTTCGTGGCAACATTAATGTCATTAACCTAACTCCTTCTAAATGAATGCTGCTGTTATGCCATCAAGTCGACTACAATTGATAGCAACCTGAAAACAGATCTGACTATTGCTGTATCCTGTGTCATCCTCACACCAATCAGTACTAACAGTATCTCCAAGATGATGGAATAATACTTTAACATAATGACATGACTGAGCATGTAACGGATTATGACATATACAAAGAATCATTAACTATTTACTTAACTTTTAAGCCATTTTAGAGAATGTCTTTAACCATGCTATATGTGTTCTGTGGGGGTTTTAAAAAAATTTTATTAATTTTAATTGACATTTACAGAGATTTGGGATTTCCATTCATTGTTGCACTTTTCTCCCACCCCCTCCCTCCCCCGACCCCCGCCTCCCGGCCCCCGCCCCAGTTCACTCCTCTCTTCAAAAAGCAAAGAAAAACTCTGCCATTGGTGTACAATCCACCGGCCCTGAGTGCACTCCACTATGCAACCTTAATTCTGGACTCCTGTGATAACCACAAGACCCTATCATACATCGCTTTTAAACTGTTCTCTCCCTC